GCCCCGCCGGGCTTGAGAGCTAATGCAGCTTCCAAACCTTCCTTGGATATCTGAGACTTGTTTCCGTGTCGTGTCCGAGTGGCATGGGAGGAGTTGAGGACACTTTCCCCAAATGATCGACTCTGATTCCATCTGTGCTAACAAGCTCGAAAGAGCCAAGCCAGGAAAACTGATCCTTCATGTCGCGGTGTGGACGCACTTGAGGTGTTTAGGGTTTCGAGTGCGCAATCCCGTGTGTACAATGCTGTGGCCCGGTGCGCAGTGATTGAATGGTGGAGTTGCTAGAGTTTAGGGCGAGTGGGCAGTTAGGCAGACTCTCCATGTATGTCGTTGACAATCATTTGCCTTAAAGTTTTATTGGTCAAAGTTGTCGGGTGTGGGGCGTGGGGTTCGCGGGTGAAGATCATTTGGTTCCAAGTTTCGAGCGTGCCGCGCCCTGACCGTTGAGAGTTGATGCGACCCCCGGGTGTAGAAGGCGCTTTAGACTGGGTTAGGGTTCGTGTCAGCCGGTAGATCACAGGTGGCGTTGGGCGTGTCTTGTGGAAGCGGTCTGTCGGGGCCAATATGGAGGAGATTGCAATGATGATTCGATAATCCCAGCTCGCTTTTAGCCCTCATGAGAGGGCGTTGAAGAGAAATAGTCGTTTCCAACACAATAACACTGAGCAATGTTATTCTTTCTTGGCCCGGGCGGTTGATAGGTTTGTTAGAGGTTGGGGTTCGCGACGAACAGAGTCGATTTCCAGCTGGGCTGAAGTGGTCTCGCGTTGGCATCATAGTACGTGCGTTGTTCGCCACGTGCATGCGCACGTGCCCCGGGGCCGAACACAATGCCTGGGGGTGCGGTGCGGTGTGGGTTACGATGGAAGAGGCTCACAGGGAAAGTTGTATCCTTGTCGTGTCTGCCGCGGTCGGTGTCGAGTATCTGAAATGGGGTGTTGTCTATGATGAGATTGATGTCATGCACCACACTTAGCAAACCGTGCTGATATGACGTAATAACCATAGAAAGATCTGAGACAACTGCAGCGGGTGCCTGATATTAACCGTGATCCCTTCGTGGCCGTGGGTGATATCCACATCCGATTGTCGATGAGTCTTAAAGAAATTTTTAAGAGCATGATGCACTAGTAATTTCGTGAGCCTGTGTTTGGTATTATGAGCGCTACATGCGTCTTCTACTCCAGTGATTATATCTTAACTAGTTTTTAACCTTTCTCCATCTGAATTGTATGAGGAGGGACTGGTATATTCACTATGAGGGGTTGGCGCGACCCGTACCTGCGTTGTGGCATCCCACCGCCGAAGCGGCGGTATGTGGTCGGATGGTAGTGGTTTTAGGGTCATTGAGACGTCATCTTCGGCTGTTTGAGGTGGAGTCTTGGCTTAAGTCAGTAATGCGCTTGTGCGCACGTCGTGGCGGCATGAAAAACAGTCTATGATTATGCTTCATACCATAGTACTTGTCGGCTTTCCTGTCGAGAAGTTTGATGATTACACCTTTACTTCAGTCTTCAAAATGAGGCTGTTCTCGTGGGCCGTCAGTGGCCTAGCTGCTCTTGGAGACTATCGAATGCCTGGGGTATAGCTAGGAATGATCTCGTCAGGGGCCAGTGCAGATGCGTAAAGTCCGCGACGTCGGCATCTGACGGGATTTGAGTTTTTCAAAAGCTAACTGTATCGGAGTCGTTCAAGTGTGCACTTCGAAGTTGGTAGTTGGGGCATGAGACGATGACGACACAGTGAAAGGTCTCGTTCGGCATATTGGCCCAAAGGCCATGCTGACCATTCTAAAAAGATCACCACCCATAATCTGATGTCTCATAAACCAGGGATATTTTCAACTGAAAGTAAAGTTGCGAGGATTTTGAATCTAAAACGGATCGTAGATGAGCACCTAATAGTTTCAAAAATGCATTTAGGATTACAAGAGGTCCTATTGATGAGGCTCAAAATGAACCTGTTCAGATTGTAGTGCCACTAACTACAATACCTCACGTTACAACAACTAAAACAACTTGTGAACTTGTGAATTAGATAAGTAACCATGTAAAAAGAAAGTTTAAATATTTATTAATCTTAGTATTATTTCTCAAGAAATTTCCACTCATCATGTGGGACCACCAATTTAAGATGTACCTTCAATTCATGCATAATGTACCTTCAATTCCTATGAAAAACAATCTTGGAATTGGAAGAAATTACATCAACTTAAATAGACAATTAATTATTTTGTAATGTTCTATGGATGATATTTGAAATAAACCAGCAATATTTTGGTAGATAAATTATTTGCACATGTAATTATAATAGCTTTCTCTTGCAACACAGACAATTGCAAACTTCCATGGTGTCAGTAATTGATTTGTGGTTAGATATTAAGTGGCGTCTAATGAAGACCTTCACTACTGATGCTTTTTGAATAATATTTGTAATATACAATAATAATAAATCCACTTATTTTTTTGTTGCAATAAATAATGGTAATAACAACAAGAAACCAACTGTTCACAGTATCCATCAACATCCACATTAGATTACTTGTAGTCATTGTTTTCAATAACAAAGTGGTGATGATAGATGTTTTATAAGAAAGAAAAAGAGTAGAGCTGATGGATGTAATTCTTGTTTGGATTCAGTAGCAAGCATCGTAGAGAGCTTGTGTAGAATCATGTAGTGTCGGCGATGCCACAATAGTGTAGATGTCAATGTTGTCAAGAGTGGCTGTAATAGAAGGATAGTTAGTGTAGATCACACACGGATCATGTGTATAGAAAGTAGATTGATCATAGTCATTTACGCTAAGATTAAAGTAGAATTGCTTGAGCAAGTCCTGATTGGTTAGAAACGAGCTGCCTCAGGAGACCAGATCAATGTAGCCAATACGAATGGCCTTCATGCCTTTCTTGCGAGAGTAACTACCGGTGGTCATGAACACACCTTTGTACTCATTACGGTAGATTTTGTATTTATGTGTAGCCTTGTCAAGCCCCTGCGGAAGATGAAACCTAGGCTCGGTCACATACAAGTAGACCAAGTTCTAAGGTAATAGATTTCGCACTAGGTAGAGACCCAAGCCCACTGGATCGAAATCAATGATGCCTTTGTAGTTGAGAATAGGTGATATTCTCACGCTTGTCTTTGTAGATCCAATCACTAATATGATTGCTATTGAGAGAATTATATTATATAATACAATAGTCTCCTGTGTAGAATACTATTTACTCTATATTGACCTTACACCAAGAGTTGTAACTCTTGGTGTTACCATAGTACATACAACATATATATATATATATATATATATCAATTGATCATATTAATAACAATGACGTTTTCAACATGGTATCAAAACTATAGAAATATTCGATCCTCAAAATAAGCTTTGATGAATGCTTTATTAAGAAAATAATTACTGAAATTACAAAAATAGTTTATAATAAAAATAATATCAATACAATTCATTATAACAGTAAAGGTTGATGAAGAACTTGAGTTTCATCAAACCATGAAAAGCAATTCGAGACTTGAAAATGACAACATATAAACCATAAGGAAAGATAAAATTAAATTGATCAAAATTAAATTTATAAATAATTATAATTCAATTTCAAATTAAGAATATTGAAGATGATACAAAAAGTGGACATTAATCATGGTCCAAAATTTGATGGTTCATATTTTAACATATAAAAACATAGACTAACATTAGTTTTCAAGGCTGAAAAGTTATGGCCCATAGTAAGTGGTGAAGAATTCTTATTAGTAGAACCAATGGAAGCTGAAATAGCTGCCAGATTCCTAGCTTTACTTGCCATTGGAATAGGGAGTATAAGTGCATGGGTATACAAGGATACCTTGTCTTTAACTATAATTAATAATTTCTTAGAAAAAAATATTATTTCACATATACAATCTTGTACATCAACAAATTCAGCATGACAAGAATTAGTAAAAATATTTGAATCACATGATGCAATAACTAAGATGTATTTAAAAGACAAATTACACACCTTAAAAATGAGAGAAGGTGATAGTGTTATTAAACACATACATACTTTTAGAGCACATATGGAACAATTGTTGGCAACAAGATCAGCAGCTCCAAATGATGAAACAATTCTCACTTTAATGAGAAGTTTTCCTCTAAGTTATAGATCCTTCATTAGCTCCTTAAAAAGGTAGCTTGAGACTACATTAACATCCTTGATAAGAGATTTGATCCAAGAAGAAACACTCATGAAAAACATGAATTTAACATTTGATAATAATTCAACCTTGTATGTAGGTAAGAAATTTCAGAATAATAATAAGAAATCTTATTTTAATAAGAATTTCAGGAAGAGTTGACAAAGACAGAATAGTACTTCCAAACCACATGAAAAGAATAATTTTGCTATTAAGAAATATTTTTTCTACAAGAAAATAGGTCACTTGAACAAAGATTGCAGAACAAGGATACCAACTGATACCATGGAAGTTTGCAATTGTCTGTGTTGCAAGAGAAAGCTATTATAATTACATGTGCAAATAATTTATCTACCAAAATATTGCTGGTTTATTTCAAATATCATCCATAGAACATTACAAAATAATTAATTGTCTATTTAAGTTGATGTAATTTCTTCCAATTCCAAGATTGTTTTTCATAGGAATTGAAGGTACATTATGCATGAATTGAAGGTACATCTTAAATTGGTGGTCCCACATGATGAGTGGAAATTTCTTGAGAAATAATACTAAGATTAATAAATATTTAAACTTTCTTTTTACATGGTTACTTATCTAATTCACAAGTTCACAAGTTGTTTTAGTTGTTGTAACGTGAGGTATTGTAGTTAGTGGCACTACAATCTGAACAGGTTCATTTTGAGCCTCATCAATAGGACCTCTTGTAATCCTAAATGCATTTTTGAAACTATTAGGTGCTCATCTACGATCCGTTTTAGATTCAAAATCCTCGCAACTTTACTTTCAGTTGAAAATATCCCTGGTTTATGAGACATCAGATTATGGGTGGTGATCTTTTTAGAATGGTCAGCATGGCCTTTGGGCCAATATGCCGAACGAGACCTTTCACTGTGTCGTCATCGTCTCATGCCCCAACTACCAACTTCGAAGTGCACACTTGAACGACTCCGATACAGTTAGCTTTTGAAAAACTCAAATCCCGTCAGATGCCGACGTCGCGGACTTTACGCATCTGCACTGGCCCCTGACGAGATCATTCCTAGCTATACCCCAGGCATTCGATAGTCTCCAAGAGCAGCTAGGCCACTGACGGCCCACGAGAACAGCCTCATTTTGAAGACTGAAGTAAAGGTGTAATCATCAAACTTCTCGACAGGAAAGCCGACAAGTACTATGGTATGAAGCATAATCATAGACTGTTTTTCATGCCGCCACGACGTGCGCACAAGCGCATTACTGACTTAAGCCAAGACTCCACCTCAAACAGCCGAAGATGACGTCTCAATGACCCTAAAACCACTACCATCCGACCACATACCGCCGCTTCGGCGGTGGGATGCCACAACGCAGGTACGGGTCGCGCCAACCCCTCATAGTGAATATACCAGTCCCTCCTCATACAATTCAGATGGAGAAAGGTTAAAAACTAGTTAAGATATAATCACTGGAGTAGAAGACGCATGTAGCGCTCATAATACCAAACACAGGCTCACGAAATTACTAGTGCATCATGCTCTTAAAAATTTCTTTAAGACTCATCGACAATCGGATGTGGATATCACCCACGGCCACGAAGGGATCACGGTTAATATCAGGCACCCGCTGCAGTTGTCTCAGATCTTTCTATGGTTATTACGTCATATCAGCACGGTTTGCTAAGTGTGGTGCATGACATCAATCTCATCATAGACAACACCCCATTTCAGATACTCGACACCGACCGCGGCAGACACGACAAGGATACAACTTTCCCTGTGAGCCTCTTCCATCGTAACCCACACCGCACCGCACCCCCAGGCATTGTGTTCGGCCCCGGGGCACGTGCGCATGCACGTGGCGAACAACGCACGTACTATGATGCCAACGCGAGACCACTTCAGCCCAGCTGGAAATCGACTCTGTTCGTCGCGAACCCCAACCTCTAACAAACCTATCAACCGCCCGGGCCAAGAAAGAATAACATTGCTCAGTGTTATTGTGTTGGAAACGACTATTTCTCTTCAACGCCCTCTCATGAGGGCTAAAAGCGAGCTGGGATTATCGAATCATCATTGCAATCTCCTCCATATTGGCCCCGACAGACCGCTTCCACAAGACACGCCCAACGCCACCTGTGATCTACCGGCTGACACGAACCCTAACCCAGTCTAAAGCGCCTTCTACACCCGGGGGTCGCATCAACTCTCAACGGTCAGGGCGCGGCACGCTCGAAACTTGGAACCAAATGATCTTCACCCGCGAACCCCACGCCCCACACCCGACAACTTTGACCAATAAAACTTTAAGGCAAATGATTGTCAACGACATACATGGAGAGTCTGCCTAACTGCCCACTCGCCCTAAACTCTAGCAACTCCACCATTCAATCACTGCGCACCGGGCCACAGCATTGTACACACGGGATTGCGCACTCGAAACCCTAAACACCTCAAGTGCGTCCACACCGCGACATGAAGGATCAGTTTTCCTGGCTTGGCTCTTTCGAGCTTGTTAGCACAGATGGAATCAGAGTCGATCATTTGGGGAAAGTGTCCTCAACTCCTCCCATGCCACTCGGACACGACACGGAAACAAGTCTCAGATATCCAAGGAAGGTTTGGAAGCTGCATTAGCTCTCAAGCCCGGCGGGGCGAAAGCTTTAGGCGGCCACTGCGAATGTTTGAGAAACAAGCCTAGAGATTTATCGTCATCGACTTCATCACGACACCCGGAACTCGACATCAAAATCCAACCCCCACAAAAACCTCGAACAACCACAGAACCCACCCCACGCCGCTAGCCCACGGGACTACCTATCGGACATCACACACGATCGACCTTGCAACCAGCGAGCCTTTATACCACGCAAGAGCACAGACGCGGACGCCTGCGTAGAACGTTCCGGAAACCTAACCCTAGGAACAGACTATCGGCCACTCCTCCTCCTCATCCTTCATTTCCCATTTGATCATGGCTGTGGGAACTGGGGCAACCGGATGACATGGCCCCTCTATCTGTCCACGTTGGCACCACTCCACTCCAGCAACCATGAGCTGTTCAAACCCTCAACAGCCTTCACCAGGCATCCATCCATTCAACCCAACAGAATCTCATTCTGACCTTGCCAAACCTTTCTCCACAACGTTCTCATGACAATGCTGCTATCCTCCTCCACTGGGCCTGCACCACGTTCAAAGTCCAGAGCTGCCATGAAATCAACACCAAGTTCAGACATACATCTCTCCAATGTGTGCCTGAATAATTCACCACCTTATGCATGGAGGAAGAGGTCCTCCACTCACTCTTGCCTTCATTTCATTCCTTCCAGCCATCACCTTTCTCAGGCTCTTCCACAATGGTGGATCTCACATGTTCCTCCAACTAAACCCTATCCTATCCTCACCCACACATGTCTCCCCTCCCACTTCATCTCCTATTTTCTTTTCCATTCATGTCCCTTCCTAGTGTGCCATTTTGTTCTTGTCTAGATAAATGCATCATTTCTGTCTTGGCACAATGTAAGATGTTTTCTCTCTCATATTGTTATATGATATCGTAATGTATTTCTTCAGATTTTAAATAGATGAATTGCCTATTAGTAAAAGGAAAGAAAAATTTTCTTAATTTTGTTTAATTCATAAGGGAGTGTTTAATTTGAATTTGAATTTTTCCAGAGAAGTTTATATAATTTGAAGTTTTAATGTAGTGTCATTTCTATATACTTTCTTGTCTTAGATAATGGTATAAGTGGAATACTCATGGTCTTCATTATGATTAAAAAATGCTTGTGACTTTGTGACTTTACTCTATTTTTCATGTGTCCTTTCTTAAGCAATATTCGATGGCAAATATCTCAAAAAAAAGACAATTGCCACTTCCTCCTATAGAAATAGATAATAATCAAGAGTTTGAAGTGGAAGAAGTTTTAGATTCAAGGTACCGCAAAATAGATTGAAATATCCTTATTTGTTTGCATGGATATGATATTAGTAAATGTACATTAAAACCAACAAAGAAATTTGCAAATGTAGGAAAGAGAGTTGAAGTTTTTCATGAACATTATCTATCAAAATTAAGATGAAGAATAGCAAATCTTTGCCATAAAAGAAACAAGATCATACTTAATATAAATATTTATGTGCTCCATATAATGTGACCTTTCAATTGCCAAGAAGATGTCTATGTTAATTTTAAAATATTATTTAAAATTCTTAACTCTTAATTTTTAATCATTATTTTTAATTTTTATGAATTTATCATATTTCTTATAAAATAATTAAAAAATAGTATAAAATAAAATAAAAGAAGAAAAAAAGTTTGGTATAAAAATTTTATAATAAAAAAAAATGAATTGGTGAAAAAAGAATTAAAACTAAAAAAAAAAACTTGGTATAAAAAAGGTTAGTATAAAAGGTTCAAAAAAATAAAAACTTTAAAATAGTAAGTATACAAAGAAAAGGTTGTTAATTATCCATGTATTAATTATGTTTTGTATAAAAAAGATGATTAATTTTCCTTAAGTAGTTAATGTGGTAAGAAAAAAAATAGAATTATTAAGACAAAATAAAAAATTAAATATAATTAATTTTTAAATATAAATAGCTATATTTTTATTTTATATTTATCATAATAATAATAGTAATGAACATTTGATTATATGCATTCTTTCTGCTTTATTTGTGCATAGTGTCATGGATACAAAAATACAGGTTCGAGATCTAACAAGAAGTTCAAGAAGATTTGGCAAGAACTAGATTAATCAGATAAATACAAGAACAATACCTGAGAGGTGAGCTAGAGCTCCAAGAGATGTGTTGTCGAGACTGAAAAACTCTTCAGTCTCGATTTCAATATATACTCCTATTTATGAAGCTTCTCAAGCAACTTCTACCAACTAGGAAGCTTCTAGAAAGTTCCAGAGACTTGCTTCTAGAAAGTTCTAGAAACTTGTTTCTAGAAGGTTCTAAAGACTATGTTTTTAACATCTTCTACTAACTAGGAAGCTTCTCAATCAACTTCCATTAACTAGGAAGCTTCTAGAAGATCAAGAGACTTGCTTCTAGAAGGTTCTAGAAACTTGTCTCTAGAAGGTTCTAAGGACTATGTCCCTAACATCACCCCCTCCTTTAGCTTCGAGGTCTCTGAGAAGCAATGTTATTGTTAATCAGTACCAACATAAAAAAATGAAGATCTGTCTCATAACGTATGCTATGAACTCCAACTGTTGTTTACAAGGCAAGTGATTCATCGACCCTTGAAGCCAACGGTAGTGGTCTATGCCTTTGATTTCTGACCAAGCATGAACTTTCGTGTCCTCATTGTGAAATTGTCCTAGAAACACGTCTTCTAGTTGACCATCATAAGTAGACTCGATCTCAAATACAATCACCAGTGATCGGTTACTTGGTATCCTCCGTCGTCATTATGGTATAGGCAGTTCTTCATGTCGGGGTCGCCTTCGTGAGCTAGTCGGTTGAGATAATCTGACTGGCATAATATCTATTCTTGGCTATCCATATCAGAAGACCAAACCATGGCTATTGAAAAAATTCTACTTTATCTTCGAAAAAATAACTACATCAACTACGAATTTTGGTGGTGCTCTCCCCCTTTCTTATATTCTTGGGTGAACAAGCTTCAGAAAGAAGCTATCGTCGAATTGGCTTAGGTTTATGAGGATGTTGTTGATGAAACTCCTGTATCTTTTGCGACATATTGGCAAGATTTTCTGCTGGCTTCCACGTTCACTCATTAATATCTTAGCTGCACGAATAAACAAGATACTCCAACTTGTCCCACCTTCGCCGTGAATCCAGCACCTTTTCGACCTTGTATTCCTCATGGTTCTCAATCTCAATACTAGGTGGTCGACATTGCACTCTTCCAGAAAAAGATGACTCTTGATAAGGCTCCAACATAGAAACAT